GGGCTATGAGAAGCAGGGCGGAGGCTTCAGCATGTTCTGGGTGTATCGCGCTGGCCATCTGGTGCAGCAGGACAATCCTGCTGCCATGTCGTATATACTGCGTGAATTTACGGGCTTCGGATGAGATTTCACTATTCTATATGCCTGGCTAATAAAGTACGATAAGAAAAAAGAATTTGTTTGCACTGAATTGATTATTAGCCCAAAACTATTTGCTGTTCAGTCAGAATGAAGACTCATGGCTTGATTATTCTCAATTTAAAGCTGATTGAAACTTGAACAGTTTGTAGTTTCTACTTCACAATCGCACGGCCAGACGCATATTCAAAAAGATCCCCTTAGTTATATTCTGCTGTCTAGACCAGGCAATCTTTTAACAATTTACTCGAAATTAACACGAATTCTGGTTGAGTGGTTGAGTGGTACCCGTTTACAATGCGGTCGACCTCAGAGCCCACAGACAGACGTTGGCCGATGCCCCCTTACGACCTGCCTTCCACATGGCATGCCTATTGCTGTAACGTTTTACAGGTGCACCGCATCAATTTATTTTCCACACAAAAGCCTATTAAAACTCGCACACACACACACACGCACACTTGGGGCCTATCGTTGAGCTTTGAGTTGGAGGTGGGGTGGGGGCAGAACAGCTCTTTGGGTCTGACTAAATGTTTGCCAAATGGAAACACTTAACCTTTTTTCAGCTTCTTCATCTCTTTTTTATGCTTTTGCTTTTCTTCTCTGAGAAAAATGAGCAAAAGTTGTGGTTGAGTTGAAAAGCTGCTGCCACTGCCTGTGTCTCGAGCCGCAGCAAAACAAATTAATTAAAAACTTAAAAGTTTGTCTGCGCAAGATGAGTGCGAATTGCTTGGGAAGGAGAGAGACTGAGGACGAAATAGCTGAATCAGAAATATTTGTCAGAGTGAATCGTTTGAGTTCATCAGGAATCGAATTGATATTCTATAAATTATGAACATGGGAAGTAAAGGCCAGCAAAAGTTTATCGATGTTAAGTGGAATGGAATATTAATGAATAAATGAGTTTTTGTTTTAGTTCATTTTTTTTATAATTTATATCATATATAGTATTTTGGGATATTTATGTGGGTAATAAATTTTTAAATGGATTACATATTTATTTTCGAAATCTAACAACGAAATATTTTCATAAAATATTGTATTCCGTCTGGAGTTGTATGAAACACACATCAATTTTTTATTAGCTTTTATATATTTTTAAAATTATTGAAAATAAAAAAAAAAAATAAAAAATAAAAAAAAAATCTAAATAATTTATTATTCCTTTTAGTTCAAATACATTTTTTTTTTATATATATTTTTTCTGAAGTTTAATAGTCTTAATTAATAATTTAATTAATTTGTAATATATATTTTTTAAGATCAATAATTGTAATTATTTTTTTTTTATTTATGAAAATCATTACCATCTGCATTGATTGAGAGTTAGTTGGTCATCTTTGCCTTCTTTGCTTCATACTTTTGGGCACAAGAATTAAATGCGATTCTTTGTTTATTCTGTAAAAAAATATATATTACATACTTTTTCACTCAGGCATTTGCATAATTGTTTTTGCTTTTTACTTCAGTCTTAAGCGATGTAACAATTTAATTTGTTATAATTTTTTTCTGTACAATTATTTTGCTCCCATTTGTTCGAGTTGCCTGCACACACACACACACACACACACCCACACACATGTTCGAGTTGCCTGCACACACAGCCAGTCTGAAAAAGCAATTAACAAATGTTTTCCATGCAAGTCAAAAACAAGAAGCCAAACTGATTTCTCTGGCTTCGCTGGTTTTCCTCTTTCCAAGTTTTGCTGCTCCACGCATTTGGATGTTTTTGACAACGCGAAGGAGTTGGCAGTGCAGTTTTAATGAGGGCGCCACCTGGCGGTGGTTAGTGGCGGCAGTAGCGGTGACGCCTGTTGACAGTGCCTGCTGCCAAGCAACCGCAACAGACCGTAGAGAAGAATCAATTTGCCAACAGACATGCAGGGACTGAGAGAGGGAGAGGGAGAGGACCGAAATTGTCAGTTGAATGCGTTTTCGATTGTCCATTAGCAGCATCCAAGTACAGATTCTGCTGCAGCTGCAACTACTCCTGCTCCTGCTCCTGCTCCTGCTGCTCCCTCTTCTGTCAGAGCTCAAGCTGCAGTTGCAGCTCTCTGAGTATCATGCTTTGCCGCCACTGCCACGCACGCTCTTTGACTGCCGCTTTTTGCCACTGCCTCGTGCCAAAAGTCATTTTCGAGCAATTGGCTGGGTTCGCTGACTGCCAAAGCAAGGCGCCAAGAGATAAAGTGGGGTCAGAGAGAGAGAGAAAGAGAGAGAGAGACGGAGCGAGTGAGAGAGAGAGAGAGGCTGTGCATTCATATGCGCAATAAATTTGCAACAGTGCAATGGGCAGCGACCACGCCTCTTTTGCAGATGCTTAGCAAGACGAGGCCCACACACTCACACACACACACACACACTCACAAACATTTCTGATTCACATTCAGATCGGCAGCGATGCAGTCGAGTGTGAAATTGCAAACAGCAACAACAAAGGCAGCTCGCTGAAAAGTATGCAACGACACAGTGACAGCGCCCACACCAGCCAGCCAGAAAGGCCAAACAGCACGGGCCACAAAAATTAGACTGAGCAAAGGAGAAATTTTGACAAAGTATAGTTACACAAAACAGAGGCTGTATCAATTCAAACTAGTTAAAAACGGATAAACACTTTGATGTTTTGGGAAAAGAAATAATAAAATTAATTATTTGGTCATTTTTAGTAGTCATTCATTTTCACATATTCATACAATTACATATACAAACCTTATGAAGCATTGCCGTTAATAAATTATTGATATACTTTAAATATATATGATTTAAAGTAATAGTTCTCTTTATAGAAAATATTATTGGCTGCCCTTTACTTGAATTTTTATAAATTATTAATATTCTTTACATTATTTATCGATACATAAAACTATTTTAAAGAGATATATATATATATATATATATATATATATTTTTTTTTTTTTTTTTTTTTTTTTTTAAATAATGTATAGTTTACCTGAAATATTCTGTTTTATATAAAAAGAAATTTATAAAAAATTGTAAAATATATTATTAATTAAAAGTATTATAATTAATTGTTTTTAGTCATACTCAAACGAAATTATTATTATTTTTTAAATTTTATAATATAATAGTTTTTTTTATATATATATATAATAGTATTATCTATAAACAATTATAAATAAAATATAGTTTTGCCTGAAATGTTTATTTGATAGATAATTTAGCAATTTTAATTATTAATTATATTTTTCTGCCATACCCAAACAGTTGCCCAGCACTGTATCGGCAATGCGTTGTTAAGTGGGGTGCTGCCAAATGGTTTTCATGCGCTTTTTGCAGTGGTGCCAACCCATTTGAGGCTGTTTTTTGCGTGTTCCACATTGCCGCAGTGTTTGGCCCTTGTCTTGTTGTTTTTGTCACCTAAATTACAAGTTTTTCATTTGTGGCTTTTCCAGTTGACGCCATAATATTTTACACTTTGTCGACGGAGACGACCTGGCAAACCACAAAAACGTCACAGAGAAATGGCAGAAAAAAACGCTAAACTGCTTTACAATAGTAATTTGCAAATAATGGCCAAATGGTTTGTATTGCTAGAGAAATATTTGTGCAAGTTTTTCACAACGGCAATTGGAACAGCTTTGCTTACTCTAGCATATTTATTAAAATGAATATTCTATTTTAATGTCTGTGTTCAAGCAACTATGCCTGATTAGAGAAGTAGCTCGCTCCTTCCTCCCTCTGATCTCATAAAATAAAAAAAAAAAATGAGCGAGCGACCGACTCATGTGATTTTATTACTATAAGAAAGGTGAGTGCGCCACATGCACAGCTTTTGGAACCTCATTTTTTCTACCTCTCCCTGTCGGTTATCTCTCCTCCATACAAGGCAGTAATTGAAATGCCTTTACAGTGTGTTACTTTTTTCCCAGAAATATTCTCTTATGTTGGTATTAAAATTCCTAGAATCCTGGAATTCTGAGTTTTCTCTTACTCTAGCATGCTTTCAAATATTCACAAATATTCATATTGTATAAACTATAAAAGCTTTTCACTCAATTTTATAAATAGAGCTTTATCTCTGTGAAAATATTTAATTCGCTCTCAAAAATATACTTACATTTATCCCATTATACATAAAAAAAAAAAAAAAAACAGTTCGTTTTTTTTTTTTTGGCTGCCATTTATTCACGATTTCAACTAAAAATCAACTCACATTTCATTTAACAATGGCTAAATACTTATATAGGTTTTACAGTTTTATAAACTAACAGTATTTTTCAAATACTAGCAAACATATATATATATATATATATATATATATATATATGTATAAGACGCCTAGAAACCACAACGTTAAAACACGCAGAAAGAAATCAGAAAATTTTATGAAAATCAAAACAAATAGATTTTTGGTTTAGAAAATGTTTTGCTTAAATTTGTAGATATTTCTTTTCGTATGATTTATGTACACTTGACTTAGGCTTAGGTGAGACAATTGAAACATTGAATTTTTACAGCATATGTTTTTTTTTTTTTTTTTTTGCCTTTTCTTTAGTTTTTGTTTATGTACTATACTAGTTATAATGTTTGATTTATGGGAGTTGAGTTAGCGAGCAGGAAGATTTCTTTCTCTCTCTCTCTCTCTCTCTCTCATTCTTTGTCTATGACGCACAACGAACATTCGCTAAATGTTAAAATTAAGTGACAAATGTGACTAGTTGATTAGCTATGTATTTATATATAGAAATCCAATGTGAAGATTCCTTAGAGCGGATTACTATTGAATGAATCTTTGGTAAAATTATTTTAAAAAATTTATGTTTGAATAGTTTTTCTAATTAATTTAATTTAATTTAATTCTTAAATTAAACAAGCAAATATTTAGTTGTTTTGTGTAAACAAAATGAACCAATAAATAAAAATAATTTTTAATAATAGTAGAGTTTTTTATGAACTAAAAATTGCACTTAGAATTAAATGAAATAAGAAATCTCTAAGCTTTATTTATCCACTCAATAGAATCTTCACTGCATATATGTTTGTTCATGATGATTTCTATAAATGCAATGAGAGCTTTATTTAACTAATATTTCGGGCCAGTTTGAGTTGGCTGCAGAGCACTCGCCGCCCAGCTGTATTGAAGTCTCCGTTTCTCCGCGCAGCAGTAACTGATCCCGGCCAGCTCATCACCGTAGCCGCTTAATCCTAGCCCGTTCCGCCTGAGAGATGCTGCAGCTGTGTTGATTTCTCGTTCTGCTCAGCTGAGCGGCAGTCCAGGCCAAGTGCAATAGACCCATTAACAGAAATCGAGTTAGCTGCTGTTGCCAATCGAGTTCACTGGGCCTGGGGGCAGCATCTGTTTGGGTAATCGCATGTGTATCAAGGTAGAAAGAAAGAAAGAAGAGAGAGAGGGAGAACGAAACATATTGAAAGCGGCTTAAGTATGGGTTACACTGATTCCATTTTGTGTGTGATGTGTATAGATGTGCTTTAATGGGTGTGGATGTCCATGTGCGTGTATGTATGTGTGTGTGTGTGTATTTGTGTGTGGTGCGGGTCGAAGCTGTGGCACCCGCTGGTGAAATTAATCTTTGAATTAATTGCTTGTAGCTTAGCGCAGAGCATTAATAAATCGTGGCGCAGCACAAAGCAAACAACAACAGCAACAACAACAACAACAACTGGAGCAAGGGCTAATAAGGTGAGCTGCCTTCACAGTGTCCTGCAGCCTTCGTCCTTTTTCCACTAACTTTGATTTAATGCGCCTCCGTTTATCATTCTAATGGCGTGCGTGTAATGTATCCCAATCCCCAGCGGTCTCCTTCGCATTTGTTTTAGTTGCAAAACAATCAGGCTAAGATTTGTATACCTAGTTCAGCCATTTCTCTACGAGCACGATGCGTATTTGTATCTGTGTCTGTTTGTGTGTGTGGGTTGACCATTGCTTATCTGTTGCCTAGGCTTTTGGGCTAATTTTTAAACAAACGTTCAGCACTTTTGCTACGTTGCGCCCAACTAATGTGCGGCCCTTAATCAAATGAGTTATTGATTACACGCATTGGCCAAACTGTGAGGGGGGAGAAAGGTCAGCTGAAGGGTTCTGAACGCGCTTAAGTTCGGCTGAAATTGTTTAACACAATGCCAGCTAACTGCTGAGGTCTCGACTTGGCTTTCCTGATAATTTAATCAAGATATTGTTAAGCATAAATTGTGGTCAACTTTTACATGAAGAGTTTGTATAGAAGAGTGTTTGTTTATATAGGCAGAGCTATTGAAGGCAGAGCTACTTGAATCTAAGAATATCACAGTTTTAAGAGGTTGTATATTGGTGAATATGATGTGAAATATGATATATATGGGTAATATATGCATTCGAGTTGGATGTTATGTAATTTGTGTGACTGTAGTTATTATAAATTGCTTCTACTCACTTTTGTGTATCAAGTAGAGCTCATTGTGTTCATCCACATCGCCTGGTTGATCAAAGGGATACATATTCATATCCGGCGAGCGGCCAGAGGCCAATATACGTGGTCGATCTTCTTCGATGAGTTTCTCGCTCTCCTGTGCATAGATGTCGTGAATGCGAGCAGAGCACTTGAGCTGTAAATATAAATGAATTTGATTATTCGCATGAGCTCTAATATTATTTGGTTGAGCTGCTAAGACCTTACCTTTAGGCGCCCCTTAATGAAATGATGCGTAGTCACAACGAAGTTGAGCTCTAGAACAGAGGATTCCAAGTGTTCAGCCAGGTGTCTTTGTATGTCATAAGTGCGCAAATAGTTGGGTGGAACCTGCAGTGAAAGGAAATAATCAGGAATATGCGTGTAATAATAATAATTAATATATATGTATATCATTAATTAATTACTGTTACATATTATACCTGTATATCGTTGATCCACCAGGTCAGATTGGCCGCTGGCTTCGAGTAATCCGACGAGCAATTGCCATTGATGATATCGCCGAGGCGATAGCGCGAATGTATACCCGTTATAATGGGCCGCTGGGCGGGTAGCTCTGCACATGTGGCGAGTGCCTGAGATCAATAATTTTGAAGTGATTAGTCAAACCGTCACACTTACCCACAACTTCCATATCGGCAGCCACAATGGACGTATCGAATGTGGGCGCATCGGCGGACACTTCACAGGCAAATTTACCGGATATAGAGGTGGGCACATTACGCAACAGCACATGGCTGGCATTCGACTGTGTGGTCTGTGGAAGGGATAGTTGTGGCATTTCAATTAAGCTGTTGGAATTTATAAATGCTGCTGCTGAATGGCTATGAAATATACGTAATTGAAAATGAATTCCGAGAGCATGTAACAGTTTTTATTTTTTTTATGAAGAACTTGACTGGGTAATGGATAAATTGCTGAACGATTCGGCAAATTGAAAGGTTTTTTTTTTTTTTTTTTTTTTTTTAAGTCGTTGAGAACTCAAAAAATTATTCTTCTTTCAATATGATTTTTGTTATATATTCAAGATTTTTTTTTATATTAATAGCTTAAATATATGTTATTTGAAACTTATTTTTAACTTAATAATATAGCTCTTGCATTTTTGGTGAAAAGGGGAGATTTTATTTAATGTTCTAAAATATGCTTTATTTTAATTTTAATTTTGTATATTCAAGCTTAAGCAACTTTGCCAAAATTTTTACATTAGTTACTAAATATTTTTATAGCATACTCTTAGGCCTAAAAAATATTTATTGCTATAAATGGTCAAAGACTAAATGTACTCTGCATATATAACCATATAAATTTAATTGAATTATAAAAAAAAAAATATTTTTTTACGAAAGAAGTCTAGAAAAGTATTTAAATAATACAATAAATTAAATAATATTTATTTCCCAATTTCTATATTATATACTTTAATACATAAATTCACTTTATAAATATACATTTTGTTTGGCTTTTGTTATATATGTACATGTATAATAAAACCAGACAGTAATAAAAATGGAGATTAATTATAAAATTCCCCTTAAATAAATATCAAAGTTTAACTCACACTGAGCAAATAAAAATGCAAAGTGCAGCAGATCTTTGACCTGTTCGATGAATAAAATCTTAATTGTGGAGTTAACTTTTCAATAATTACCATTTGCGTAATTTCGCAATTGTTACACAACAAACTGAGCCACTGTACGCGCAAAGGATTATTATATATAAATAAAAACAGAATCTGTACACACATACATACATGTGCATGTATATTTGTCAACAAATAGAGTACGAGTGCTGAATGCACGTGTGCTTGTAAAAGATATTTTCTGCTGCGCCGCAAACATGTTGAATGCAACAGCTTGAACACAATTTTGCGGCAGTTCGCTTTTAATTTTCACAATGTCAGCAAAAGTCAACAATAAAATGCACAGGATGAAATGCCAGGACATGGAGGACGTGTATGGCAAGTGTGTGTGTGTGTGTGTGTGTAACAACTGCAACGACTGCAACAGCAGCAAGTGAAAAGTCAAAAATGTTAATTAAAACTTTTTAACATGCATAAAACAAACATCGATCCACACACACACACACACAAACATAAAGGCACACACACATATTGAGCTTCGGAACTGTTTACAGTGCTGTTGTTGTCGTTAATACAACCACATCCAACAGCAGCAGCAGCAACAACAACCAGAATAACCACATATAGCAGCCTCTGCCAGTTAACGAATATTAAATGCCCTTACAGAAAACATTTCTCAATTAACAGACAGGGCTGAGAAAATATTTAGCTTTTGATTTATTTAATATTCTGTCAACTATAAAGAGATACAACGACATAAATGAGAAAATTCTCTGTAGATGAATTCAGGTTAAGACTGAAGACTGGCCGTAAATATGTTTTTTTTAATTTTTATTTTATTTATTTATTTATTTATTTATTTTTTTTTTTTCATATATAATTTAGATGTTGACTTGCTGCTACATATTTTTAATTAAATTATACATTTTATATACATATATGCTGAATACTAACCGGTTAAATTGTGGAGGCGATTAGAAACTCAGCTAACATATGTTAACTCATGGAGTTTGACCTTTTATATTCAATTGACTAAAATAAAGTTTTTATGTATGTTTGATATGTTGTGCTTATAAATATTTAAATTCAAGAAGTCTTTGTATTTTCAGAGCAATGAGAAGCTAATCATTGTGCAGGAATATATATCAGGATGCCTCTCAAATAATAAATACACAGATTAAAATTAAAACTATTAAAACGTATATGCCGAAAATAATATAGATATAAAGAAAAAAAAAATAATAATAATAACAAAAAAAACTGTGAAATTCATATAATTATGGAATAACCTAAATAATCTATAAAAACGTTATAATGGACATATATACCACATATGGCTACATCGTGCTCGATAAACCAGACAAACTCTCAGCTAGTGTACAAGTATAACATTTTGCAGTTCTTTACAGCAATTTACATTGGCAGCTCTTCAGCCTCAGCGTCAGCGTCAGCGTCAGCATCAGCTTTTTCTCTTTCGTTTGTAGTGCGAATCAAGGAACGTCATGATGAGGACTTTGGGGTACTGCGAGACACAGTTGAGACTCACCACGACATCAATTTCGTTGGTTTTCGTGAATATCTTCCAGGCAGGTTTCTCCTTGGGCGTATAGCGATAGAACTCCCTGCGGCCCCTATACCATTTAACCGCATAGAGCGTGTCGTTCTCAATGTCATAATTGCAGATTAAGAGCGCATTATCGCCGCGCTTAACGGCCGACGGAATGTGAACGTTAACATTGCGCAGCCCAACAGCCAGGTCTGTAAAGAGACAACAAAAAAAGAAAGAGACGATAAATGGATGGCAGTAAAGCAGATATAGACAGACAGAGAGAGAGAGAGAGAGAGGGCGAGAGTGAGATGGAGCAAGTGTGCTGTGGAAGTCGAGCAACCCGTAAGCATTGTCACAAGGGCTTAAATATGACAAGTTATTGTAGCTTAATTATGATACCAGGCGGCTTACATTGGATTTTTGCACGGAAAAACTTTGAGGAAGGCAGCATGGAAAACGGTCCGTAAATAAATACATATATACATGTATATGTATATATAAATGTCTATACGTAAGTGTGGGCATAGACTTACGATAATCTAACACAGTAGCCTAATTAGGATCTAAATGCGATTAAAAGTGTGCAATAATACGCTTTTCAAATATGTTTATTTTATAAATACATAATTAACTGAATTGAGCTCCACTACGAATTGGCAAGTGTTGAGTAATTATTATGTATATGTAAATTGATGATAATAAATAAACTCAGTTTGCTTGTACAAACATAATTATTGAAGGAAATAATCTGAACGTACAGCAACTTTGTTTTCAGCTGCCTTTCGATTAATACAAGCTCGGGCAGCTTCAGCAACGAAAAATTTTTATTTCTCATAGATTATATAACATAGAATCTGTACTTGTCTAAAAGACAAAATAGGTTTACAAGAATAGAGAACATCTTGCTAATTTTTAGAAAATAGAATTGAAAATTGCTTTTCAATAGATTACAGTAATACAATAAGTATTATTATGTTACAATAAATTTGAGAAAGGGAAAAATATATTTTGTTCAGTTTATTATTTAGTAATTTAATCGTATATTTTATCATTTGACAACACGTTATCATATATTATTTAATTTTTACATTACATTGAGTCAACGAATCATAAATGTTACATATATAAATTACTACATCTACACAATATCTTGTCTGTAAACTGCCAAAAAGGAAATTAAAACAAGTCCAAAAATCAAAAAGTAGATCAAAGATCGTGACGTATACGAAAAAAGCTACATAAAAAACGAAAAGCACAAAGAGACTACCTCTCATACATATATACACACGCGCACACACACTCACACACATATGTATATATATATATATAGCTAAACATATATACACATAGAGGCATATACTTATGTTTATACACCCATACATTTGTACACACCCTCAGCACGCGTGCAAGCGAGACAGCAATAGGTAGCTGATAAACAAAAATACGGCAACATGTAGTCCGCTTGTAGCTTGATTTTGGCCCGATCGTCGGGTAGCGTGACCCTTACGGCCCTGTGCGCCTGGCCGCATTTATAAAAAACTTCCGAGTAAAATTGAAAATCGAAAGTGAGTTTAGTTTTTGTGTATTTTGGGCGCGAACGTAGCGAACGCGCCTCTTGCTGACTCACATAAATCATAAAGCCGGCCAAGCACATAGGAAATTGTACGGCGGCCGGTGATCAGGGCTGCAGGAAAACACGTCAAGTGCCCAAACACATATCTGTGAACGCTAGATCAGTAAAAAGAAACTCTAAGGTTCGTTGAACTCGCGACAATGAAGAAACAGAAAACAGAAACAGAAGCGAAAACAGCTTACGGCAGGGGCAAGGGCAAGGGCAAGAGCAACAGCTAAAGGAAAAGGCAAGGGCTCTAGGCGAGGGTGAGTATGCACGGCGATCAGATACCTTGTTATATATCTGGATATTTTTAATTTATATGTATATTCGTATATATGTATATATATACAATATTTACATATGAATAAATATAGGCAAAGGCAAAGCTCTAGCATAATCTAGAATACAGTGCTTGACCATCATAGGCTTACAAGTAGAGCTGGAAAATCCATCGAGGGCTCTATCAATAGTGTGGATGGAGCTCGTGAAGTGCGATAGATCGATGGAAATTTTTTTATTTCGATCTATCGAAGTTGTTGCAAGGTGGTAGCGTATAAGGTACAATAACAATAAATGGCAATCTTTTTATACCCTGAACCCATTTTCAATGGGAAATCAGGGTATAATGGTTTTGTTGAAATGTATGTAACAGGCAGAAGGAGGCGTGGCAGACCCCATAAAGTATATATATTCTTGATCAGGGCGACGAGATGAGTCGATTTGGCCCTGTCCGTCTGTCTGTCCGTCCGTCTCTCCGTCTGTCCGTATGTATGAACGCGTCGATTTCAGAAGGTATAAAAACTAGAGACTTCAATTTTTTTTTTTAATGTCCGTAATTACAGCGCGGATATCGAGTTTATCACTAAAAATCGATAAATCATCCCGATCTTTTTTATCGATAAAAAACCTTATCGAAAATCAGCTATAAAATTATATCTCCTACATCTTTGGAGCTACAGTCTCCAAATTTTGAATGTATATTTATATGCATTTTATACAATTTCGGTTTTTGTTGAAATTTACCCCCCACCCCTAATTAACCCCCTCACCTTCACCTTTGTAAAAGGCGTATTTCAAATACTAGACTTGTGCTTTAGCCAGTGCACGCATATTATGGTTATAATTACGATCTAAAAGTTTCATGAAGATCGTATGTCCACAAAAAAAGTTATTAAACAATTAAGTTCTCATAGTAAGCGCACACTGCGGCCCATGCGTGTTTATGCGTGGGTGCTTGTGTGTGTATGGGTTTGTGTGTGTGCGTGTTTCTTGTGTAAGCAGAAATACGCAAAAAATTATTGAAATAGCTATTGCTCGAAGGGTTCAGGGGATCTCGTAGTCGAGCAGTCTCGACTAGAGCTTTCTTACTTGTTATACCCTGAACCCATTTTCAATGGGAAATCAGGGTATAATGGTTTTGTTGAAATGTATGTAACAGGCAGAAGGAGGCGTGGCAGACCCCACAAAGTATATATATTCTTGATCAGGGCGACGAGCTGAGTTGATTTGGCCCTGTCCGTCTGTCTGTCCGTCTGTCCGTCCGTCCGTCTGTCCGTCTGTCCGTATGTATGAACGCGTCGATTTCAGAAGATATAAGAGCTAGAGACTTCAAATTTTTTTTAAAAGGTTCGTAATTACAGCGCGCATATCAAGTTTATCATTAAAAATCGATAACTCATCCCGATTTTTTTTATCGATAAAAAACCTTATCGAAAACCAGTTATAAAATTATATCTTCTACACCTTTATTGCTAGAGTCTCCAAATTTTTAATGTATGCTTATATGCAATTTATACAATTTCGGTTTTTGTTAAAATTTACCCCCACCCTTAAATTCACCCCCTCACCCTCACTTTTGTAAAAAGCGTATTTCAAATACTAGAGACTTGTGCTTTGGCAATTACATGCATATCCATGTCATAATCATAATCTGAAAGTTTCATGAAGATCGTACGTCCACAAAAAAGTTATTAAGCAATTAAGTTCTCATAGTAAGCGCTCACTGCCGCCCATGCGTGTTTATGCTTGTGTGTGTATATGTATGTAATTGTTTGTGTATGTGTGTGTGTGTGTATGTGTGTATGTATGTGTGTGTATGTATGCCTGTGTGTGCGTGCGTGCGTGCGTGTGTGTGTGTGTGTGTGCGTGTTTCTTGTGTAAGCTGAAAGACGCGAAAAATTATTGAAATAGCTATTACTCCAAGGGTTCAGGGGATCTCGTAGTCGAGTAGTCTCGACTAGAGCTTTCTTACTTGTTTTATTAATTGTAATTGTTTAGCTTTCAACAGGTAGGTACATAATATACAAAAGCAATGAACAAGTTCTCTCTCGTAAGTATTTTACACGAATATAATTGTAAGCCCTTATGAATGTTAAAATAATATTGATGAATACCAGCAAGTCCTGCCGAATGGGAAAGAACATTTGGAAAAATAGGAGCGATTGCTTCGGACCTAAACTTAAAGTCAACTAGAGTCAACACTTCGGTATTCATGAACAAAAACCAATGGTTTACTAATCAAAAGACTTATTTTTGACTTATTCTGTCAGTATCCACCAAGTAAACTAGTTTTTTCCATCGAGTGGTGCCACCATCGATGGATTCCCAGCTCTACTTACAGGGTATACAAAATCAACTAATGACAGTCATATATATATATATATTTTTTTTTTAAGTTTTATTATTTATTATTAAGTTCAATTGCCTATTATTTTGTTCAACCCGAGATTTACGAGATATATTATATTATATCAAATAATATACAAATATATAGATTCTAAATACACATAACATATAAAATATATTTAAATTATTTTTTTTTGCTTAGATAAAGCCAAGGATTTGTAATTTTAAACATAGAAAAAGTCCTTTTTGTTAAATATTATATAATATATATAGTATTTAGTAATTGTGTAGCCATGTGTTTTTAGACTAGGGACGATGCCGCCATTAAGAAGATTAAGCTACATAATGTCTGTTTGTATGTAGTTCAGGCGGGGCAGGAACCGGTTGCTGTTTGGGCAAAGACAAAGCAATTGCTTGGCTTGTTGCGTGTTGTTGGATTGTCCCCAAGTGGGGAACTGTTGCCGGCTCGTTGTTTCATCGCATCGCGACGCGTCTGTCAGCTCATTTCTGGTTAACCTTGAATGCTAATTGTTGTTTCACGTTGATTTTTATGGCACTCGCGGGCTCTGTACGCGGTACGTGTTGTTGTCGCTGTTGTTGTTGTATTCATATCAACATAAAAATTTCATGCTGCCCACAGACAGACAGACGTCGAGCTGCCTGCACGCAAAAGCTGTGCGCCGGTTCCAAATAGTACGAAAAAACTAATCACATACGCCATGTTGTACGCCGGCGCTCGTCTAGCCGGGCCGCACTTTGCGTAAATTTGCGTAAACAAAAACTATTTACTTAGCAGGGCAGCAACTAGAAGCGTGACACGTCGAATGCCAGCAAAGTGAGCAGCAGAGTTCCGCTGAGTATCTGCCAGCACACATTTGTGGCATAGAGCCTAGAGAGCGCACGAGTGGCTGCAACTATTTAGAAACCGTTGCTGTTCTATTTTGGCCAGGCCAACAGAAGGTTTACCAA